CAACACTTTGTTCTTCTACTGTCTCATTTAATTTCTTCATGGCGTATTGCCTCAGCAGGACCTAAATAAGAAGGATAATCTGGAATCCGACACTATCCATCATTCTCACGATTCAGGACCTCTCTTACTGACAGGAGACTGAAAAAGTTCATGCCAACAATGTGTTTGCTGTTCACAGAATATCAAAGACCACATATAGGATCTTGCCAAATAGACTCCAAATTCACTCAGCATATTAATGAAAAGGGGGAAAAAAGCAGCAATGGTCTTACTCCTCTATCAAACTACCTTAGTTTATACATTTCCATGTAGAAATTATATAAATTAGATCAATGGAAACCCATATTTCTATATAAATAGAAAGTAGGTAAAAGTCACGTTCCTGCATCAGAAAAGCAAGGAAAACTCTAGTAGTAACACGAAGAACCCAAGACTGTGCCAGATTTTTCATTTATGCACCTGCAATGATTCTCAGCTACAGTACTACTGATTCTCTCCATAACATTTTCTGTCATTAAGGATTATCTGTAGTACTATGAAACAGGAGGCCTAAGACTGAGTACAGCAGAGTTCAATTTTGTGGAATGCAAGTTAATCCAGCTTGAATTGCACTTAATCTTTGTTAGTGGATTAACAAAATATATTTTCCCGTTTCTTCTAGATAACATAGAAATATTTGTAGAGATTAAGAACTAACATAGCTTAGAGCTCAATAACAAAAGTTTTATCGGTTATGGTTTCAACAGACAAAGGAAAATCACAGTAATTGCAATTGGCAAACTCTCTAGGAAGTAGGAATACACAGAAAACAAGAAGTCACAGAAAAAAAAATGAAGATGTTCCTAGATGTATACAGTCTCTTTCATAGGGACCTCCCTTAGTTCCCTTCTAGCTTCATGATGCTCCTACAGCATTTCCATATAATTATGTTGCTGCAAGAGAAAAACATATGTCTTTAATTATATCCATATATGTAACAATGCTTACATACTCATATATGGTAATATACACAAGTACATAATGCCAAATTGTCTCTGGTATAAATGTAGCAGCAAGGAATAGACTGCAGGTAGCTGTGATACTTCTGTGAATATCAGAGAAGTTCAAGTTCATACTAAGTTTATGGCAGAAGCCTGACCATATTATAAACCAAGTTAAAGGTTGGTAATGTTTTTAGGTGCATTTATTTGACCATAACTTATAGTATGACACCAGTTATTAAATAATAGCATTAGAAAACAATGTGAAATAATAGTACAAAACTAAGGGATTTAACACATTCAGAAATCTCAGTCACAAATCTTATGCATTAGGGTTATATTTTCTCCTTGTTGAGCATACCTCAGTGTCATTAATATTAACTGCAGTGATTTATGCATGTTTAAAACTGAAGATGACATTTAATAACTGCATCAGCAATTGCATGGATATATGTTCAAATAATCCTACCACTCATTTCTGGAAATCATTATCTGGAACACTTCAGCCTTGCTTAGTAGTCATATTTGTTTTACTTTATGTATAAAGCTGTCTAAAACATGAAGTGTTCCCTTTTATACATCATTCAGTAGTAAATATGCCACTTGCTACATATATGGTACCTTGGTTCTTCTCATTAGTAAAACACTTTGATTAATGATCAAGCCCCAATTTCCTGAGAGGCACTGGAAGTTTATTGCTAAGACAATGAAATCATTATAAAGTCACATTTGTGAAAGATTAAATGAAAATAATAAATCTTCCAAAATATTTGAAGTAGCTGTGCACAATCCTGTCTGAACTCTGTATCTGGCTGACTGCACGAAATGGTCTACTTTCAGATGACTAAACCAACTGATCTGTTTATAGAGCTCTTTTCCTTCATATTCAGATTCATTTACACTTTAGAATATAACCTCGTCAGGAATTTGGGGACTTCTGAAAATCTTACCCTTCTTTCCTTTTTATATTTCTAAAAAATATATTTGAGGGAAAGGTGTCAGTCTTTTCCTTGCTATGATCATGGCATCCTTTTCTTTTTTTTTGCCCAGAATCTGGTTGCATCCTCTTCTTCTCACCTACCAAATGAGTGTCAAACAAAAAGTCCATATTATTCTTCACTTTTCAGTTCATCTTTTGTCACGTAGTAGAATTATCACAGCAACTCCACTCACTGTACTGTACCACTCAGGCAAGGGGTAACCAATTATGTTGAATAATTCCCCTTTGCACTGGTAGACACTTCTATTTATCTTTCCTTCCATTTACTCTATTCCTTGAATTTGTCAGTATGAAAAACAGATTAACTTTTATCTCTACCCTACACAGAGTATTCCTATGCCTTTTCCTGAAACCAGCCCACTGAAATTTTGTCAACTGAAGCAAAGAAAGCAAGGTAATAAGGTAGCAGTTTTCGCTGTAGCTTGGTCTTAGGTTTTAAAATGGGCCTCAGGGACGTGGATGCCCAGATCTTACTGAAGTTCAGTGGGAACCAGAAACCTGGTTTCCTTGTGCTTCTTTGGAAATCTCAGCCACATTTTTCAGCAGTAAAAACAGCAGGTCATCTAAAGCAGTCGTAACTGAAACAACCATAAGAACAGTTTGTAAAGTTGTAACAATTAGAAGGAATGAGCAAAGAAATGAGTAAGAATGTGACAGTTTGTGACTTTTAATACCTGGCTCTGAAAACACCATGCAGGTGACTGAACTTTTCTATAGTACCTAGAGAAAGGGAGCAGATAACTTCCCACTGCTCTGAACACTGTTCCATAATGTCATGTGCGTTTTAACATTGGAGACATTCCTAAGTCTGTGTAAGATGGTGTTTTGGTATAGCTTGAGGAGTGCACTTTCACACATCTGTTATGCCCCGTGTTCCCCCACGACTGTTATACACTGCTGCTTTATATCCCTATGTGGGATAGAACACCGTTGAACTCTCTAAAACATTGCTCGTTGCAAATGAACACTTGGAGTCTGTATAGGTCTAACGTATGCCCAGTTTCCTTTCTTACTTTTTTTGGGGGAAAAGCAGAACATATGGAGTATGCAGATCAAGAAAAAAAGCTGGGAACTCTTTGGGAGAAGATGAGCACAAACATGAAAGAATTCTGTGTGCTCATGAAAAATAAGATATGTTTCTTAGCAAAGATGAACTACCATCTCTGTGAATAAACTTGCACCTGTAAAAAGTTCATGAAAAATCCATCCACAGAAGGAGATGAAATGAACCAGCCACCATTACCTTAATAAAATTGTTACTATATTTAGGGGATTTTCAGCTTCTGTAAGGAGTATAAAATCAGACTCTATTACAGCTGACTGCTCAGTAAAGAATACTACTGTGAATCCAGTGTTGTCTCAGATTCTGAGTTCGAATTCAATGACTCAATAACATCATTACTACAGTATAATTAATCACTTTCTAGTAGAACTGGAAAATGTTTTAAAAATCCTATTTTAAGTAACTTCATTCTCATTATGAGAAGCAATGCATCAGATGGCACACATTATAGTTTCGTTTGTTTCTTAAGGCTCCAAAAGCATGGAACATTTTTCCCTCTAGTGTCTGGTAGTAGTAAATACAACTAGCTGAATGGGATTTTGATCAATTACAGTATTTTAATTAATTTATAAAGACCTTGTTTTAAGTTAAAAGCATGTTAAAATCTTACTTACACCTCATGGGTTATTTTGAAATTATTTCCTAATGAAGAACTAATATTAAGCCCAATTCTTATATTGAAATTATGGAAAGTTTTATTGTTGATGTCAATGGGCTTTAAATTCCTCATTAAAATGAGAAATTGGGGAAAAGAATTGGGGAAAAGACTTATATTTTCACAAATTTAAGATGAGTTAAGGTAACATCATATTACTGAGTCAGAAGTAATTACAGTAAATGTAGATTGGAACTCATATTGAAAATGTGGCTTTTTAGTAGGGTACGTTCTACACCTTTAGATGTATCAATATCATCTACACTATATAGCAATATTTTCTGGGAATCCTGAGAATGCCCAGCCTCTGTGTAACTTGCAGTCAGGACCTGATTTGCTCCATCTAAGCTTCTCTTTGTAGGATCTATAAACTTAACATAATGGAGCCATAGGTCAATATTGACACCTATTAGAGCAACTAAATTTAAGAGATCGATGAGCATTTCAGGGTGCTTACTATCTGTATCTGTCATATCTGAGCCTTGTATAGTCACTGGAGAAAAGCAGGCATGTAAACTAGGAACTTAGAATAAATGTTTTGCATATGGCATTTTCCTTTCTGTCTAGGGAGCTTTGGGGAGTAGATAGTGTGAACCATTAATTCCTGCCTTGAACGTCACAGGAGCGACCCGATTTTGTTGTAGGCTTCAGAGTATGCTCTCCAAATATGTCCTGTAAGTAATAAATATTATTAAAAAGAAATCAGACTAAATAATGATATGTTTCTAATCTTATGCATGAAACATATATTCCCAGAGAATATACCATCTATAATTTAATTAGCTTAAACTAAAAGCTACTGTGTTTAAATGATGCTTAGCTTGAATTTTGTTGCTTCTTGTCAGATCTGGTCAAAGGAGTCTGGGCTTGGAAAGTCTGTCCATTTTTTCCAGATACCACTGTAGTGAAATTTGTTGTATCTCTCTACAAATCTTAACTCAGAAACTAAATTTCTGTAACTTCTTTTCCAAAATAGCATTTATGGCAGTGTGCGGGTATTGTTTCTTCTGTTTATTTTTTCTTTTTTTCTAATAAAATGTCTTCTTTTCTTTTTCTTCATTAAAGATGTGATAGCTATCAAAGAGAATAAACTCTCTCTGTCTTACGCAGCCTACCCACCAGCTGATCTGTTTCGGGAAAGGGGAAAGGAAAAAAATTCATAGATCCTTCTACTCCTCACAGAATCACAGAATGGTTGAGGTTGGAAGGGACCTCTGGAGATCATCTAGTCCAACCCCCCTGCTCAAGCAGGGTCACCTAGAGCACATTTCCCAGGAATGTGTCCAGACGGCTTTTGAATACCTCCAGGGAAGGAGACTCCACAGCCTCTCTGGGCAGCCTGTTCCAGTGCTCAGTCACCCTCACAGTAAAGAAGTTTCTCCCCATGTGCAGACGGAAATTCCCGTGTTTCAGTTTGTGCCCGTTGCCTCTTGTCCTTTCACTGGGCACCACGGAGAAGAGTCTGGCCCCATCCTCTTGACACTTTTGCTTCCAATTGATAAGATCCCCCCTCAGTCTTCTCTTCTCCAGGCTGAACAGGCCCAGCTCTCTCAGCCTTTCCTCATGGGGAGATGCTCCAGTCCCCTCATCATCTTAGTAGCCCTTCACTGGACTTGTTGTTCCTCACTACTGCTTGTTCATTTGTTCACAGAACTTGTGTATCCATACACCATTTCTTCTCTTTTCCTGTTCTCAGGCTGATAAAGGGGAAAAGATAAAAGAAGGACCTTCTTTTGGTTATGCAGAAATGAACTGAAATTTAACTTCCAGGATTTATCTAAAACTCATGTTAGCACCTCTCAGGATTATAGTGCAAAGTTCCTGATGTTGGGTGTTTTCCTTAAACTCTTAACTAATAAAATCTCTGGCTGTAAGTAGCATCTTTCATTTTCAAAAGAATATAGAATAACAATGGAAATACCAGAAATCAAATAAAAAGTCTTAAGTGTTTTCAATTTCAAAGCATCTCATCATATTTAAGATGGGAAAAGTCCTTCTGTATACAAATAGACCTATGCTTTATAACACAAATAACTATTCATTTTAAGGTGCACCAAGGATAACAAAATTCCTAGTCACTGAATGTGAATCTCTCCCAGAATCCTAATCATACCTTTTATTCATCCACTATTTCCAATTCAATCGCAAGCCTGAACTTTGTCCCAGTCTTAGTTAGGTATTAGTTACAAACATTGCTGCTTTAAACCATCAATCTCTACTGTCATCACTTTTTGATCAGTTGTTTTCATCTTCTTGAAATAATTCCATGATTTTATTGAATTATCAGTAGTGTGAGTCACAGGTATGATTTTTCAAAATCACAAGTGTGATTTTTCAGTTTCCTAGCTAATAATATGCCCTGAAGTAAAAAAGAAGTTCCTAGAGGAAGCAAAATTCACATTACATTTTAGAAGTTCCTAGAGGAAGCAAAATTCACATTACATTTTCTCTTTTATTTTAATTCAAGCATAATGCATGAAGTTAGATAAAATGATCAAGACAATGTCTTTTACTTCAACTGCACCAAAGCAGGCAGAAATAAACCTTTGCTCTTTAAAGCATGTATTGCTAACAAGATTTTGCTGCCTAGATATATTTTAGGTGTAAGTACACGCATGCAAAAGCACATGCATGCATTTACACACGTCTTGAAGATATCTCTTTGCCCAAGAAAAAATAAATATAAAAAGCAAAAGTAAACAAATCTCATGTTTTTTCTTCAAAATCAGAAAAGATATAGCATATTTCCCATTTAGAATATTTACCTTCTATTTAATAGAGACAGAAAAGATTCATACGGTAAGTAATGATGAAATTCTCCCATATTCTCAGTTGGCATCAAATCAGAAGTGTATTGACAAATAAATACACTGTAAAATAAATAAAAATATTTGGAAATAATGCTTAAAGTCAAAGAGACTGACATGTGATAAATTCTTTAATCCTATTTAAAAAAAAAATAGTTTAAGTCCAGGCAATACAATATGCTATTGGAACAAAGTGGTTCTACTTCGTGTGAATAATTTACAAGAAAGTAATTAGTCAATTAAAAATGTAAAGTCTGCACTACAGAATAAGATTCTGCTTAGGTATGAGGTTTTATGGTAATGACTTGCTTAAAGAAACTTTTGTGAAATAATGGAAAATTAGAATAATAGAAGGCTGACATTCCAGGATCTTCTGTCTGCTTGGAGATGCCATTTGTTCACTGTAGTCACTGAAGAGAGTAGTCATTGGAAAGAACTTGATTGAATAATGTAAGAGCTGGGGGATCGGGGTGGAGGTCCCAAAATTATTCATATAGAAAAAACCAAATAAATAAAGGTCACAGATGGAAAAAGAAGAAGGAGAACCACAGTTCCTGTTCAGTTGCTGAAAAATAAAATGCATGGCCTACCAAAAATGCTGTCTATATGTTCACAAGTTATTGGAAAAAATCAATGGCACCTATATTCCTAAGTAATTCAGGCATTCTGTACATGTCATCCCATGTGCTTTCATCTCCTAGGCATTCATTTGCAAGTACACTCTCTTTCACAAGTAGACTGCAGTTTCATCATAACTGAAACTTTTTTTTAGTTTTACAGTCTGGTCTTGTCTTGAGTTTTTAAAATCTCTGCTGAACTAATCAGTTACTTGGCTGTTATTATACAATAAGTTTGGTGTGAGTTTCTAATGGGAAGTGCACATACACAAAACTGATGTAGTACTTGCCTGTGAAAGAAAGCAAGCTTTCCACACAGCCTTGTGCAAGCCAAGTTTCTTTTAAACTAACTGTGTGCTTAAAATCTGATTGTACACAGAAAGCAAAGCAGGGGAGGATCAGTTATATTACTTGCAAAAATATAAACAAATTTTAGGAGAAAATATGGATTGTTGACCTAAAGCTAACATACCAAACATATCTATGACACTCACAGTATTGCAGCATAAGATAAATGTACTAACCCTAAATGTACTTTTGTTACGCCTGTTAAGTATTTGGCCATGGAAGACTCAAACAAACTCAAATTTAATTGTGTGCTTATACCTCTAAAATGTATAGAGTGAAATATACTCTCCCTTCACATTCACATTAATAATATTAATTGCTTAAGATGCTGAAAGGGATGTGTATGAACCTGAGACATATCACCAATAATCTGTGGAAAGAGTCCTGTTTTTACTACAGTTAACACATTAACTGTTAGCAGCCCTTCTTTCTTTACACAGAAACAAAACAAAATAAAACAAGCACAACAGATACCTGTGGAAGACTGACTGAAAGGGGGAGTAATGGCTGGTACCTTTACCCTAGGTTTCTGCTAAGTATATCCAAACCATTGCTAAGCTATTTCAAAACTTCAGAATCATTTCAGAGACTGCAATCCCAGATTTAATTTCTCATGTAGAGCAAATGTGATAGAGAAAACAATCAAGGAAAAGTGCCACAAAATGAAAATTGAAAATCTACCTTCTTATACCCCACCAGTACCTTAAAGGCTTGTGTTAGCTCCATAGAATTTCAAGTAACAGCAACAGCAGTGGGAATTATAATTTTCCACATGAATGAACACAAGGATGTTAAAAACCAGCTAGATTATCAAGAAATGCATGCTTTTTCCTTCTTATTACACATCTGCTTTCACTCCTCTGCTCTTAAGTGTAGCAGAAAAAATCAGTATAAAATATGCCTATCATCTGTAGAGAGAAAAAGTTCATACTGTATATGAAGTAATAATTTATTTCATATTATTTGAAGGGAACATTTTCAAAAACAGTGATTTACGTAAAAATAATACTTACAATACATGTTTTGTAATCAGAAATACTTCATTTTAAAGAAGAAGATCTGAAAAGGCTTCATCTTGGACTCTAAAGTTTGCACACAGGATTCCAAAGACGAAAAATAAGTGAGAGTACCATATCATTTATTTTATTTTCTGATCATTTTTACAAAAAAATTAATGAGAAACCAATTCTGTGGCTTTTCTAAATTTCTGTCATATCTTCATTCTGCTTTATGAAGCAAACAATAATACTCTTCTGGAGATTTTTTTATTATTAAATTATTTTTCTCTATGAGAGTATCCTTCATTTAGTACTTTACTCTCTTCCTACTCTGTTTCTTATCTTTTTTTTTATAGGCCTTATGATTTCGTTGAGGAAGAAGGCCACATCTCCTTCCTTATTTTCTTTTTACCTATTTAGTTTTTTCTCCTCAACTCTGTATCCCTCTCTGAGGTCCACTTTCCAGCTTTATCTCCTCCAAACCTTTCCACTGGTTCTTATCCATAGAAGAAAAAGTGTTGAGAAGTCTTCTTTTACCAAATCAAACTCATCTCTTAACTTCAGTGCTCTTGTGACTATTCTTACATATTTAATATCATAGACAAAATATTTCTCTTTGAGACTTGCTTTTCCTTAGATATATGTGACTATAGTTTATTCTTCTCTTATTTCAATGATATTCCCTTTAGTGAATCACCTTTTTCCATCATTCCACTGATTTTGGATTTTCCATTTCTTACGTCCTCCTTGTCCTTCTAACTGGAGCTCACAGGTGGCTTAATGAACAAACATGTATTCTAATCAGCTCTACACTAACACCCATCATACCTTTCTTTTGTCTCTCAGTACCTCGGCTCTAACTCATATCTCTGACATCAGTTGCTCTGGTCAGTGATATCTTCATTAGCGTGTCCCATATTGCTGTATATTTAGTAGGAAAAACAAAATTTCCCATCTTTTCTATTAAACTCTTCACCTTGCCTCCTCTCTGTAATAATTGATAGGCCATCTTCTTGTGAGATAGGTAGTTATCCCACTAATAAAACTAATAAACAGAAAGAGTTACTAGTGGAGAGTAATGGAGCAAACAGGTGCCAGCTGTTTGCTTAATGAAAAAAAAGATGGCTCTCAGAAAAGTCATAATAGTTTCCATTATTAACCATCTGTATGACACTCATATGAAGCCCAGAAACATTGTGCAAAAGCATTATGGGGAATTCTCTCTCAGCTGATCAGCTTTCTTGTGGCATTTCCATTGATTTTGTAGAGGCCTGTTATATTGTACTCCTAACTGAGGTACCTAACAGCAGAAGACATGAATGACACTTCAAGAAAAAGAGCACCTATGATATAAGTGATAGATACAAGAAAATAAGAATGACAAATATTATCCATTCTAATTTAAAAAGCAGAGATGTTAGGAGTGTGAAGTTGAACAAAACAAAGTCAGTAAACAGAGCTGAAGATTAGATTTCTACACTGATGTTTAGAAAACATACTACTGAAACTTCAAAAGTTTGTAGCTGCCGAAGTTCTGTGGACTTTTTGCCCCCTAGTTCTTTAAAAGTCTACAAGACTGTATTTCCTCTGTTCAGGCAGTTGCATAAATATTTTCCGGCCTAACAATTTTTGTGGATGAGGATACACGTAGAAGAAAGATCTCCTACATATGGCAGAATATTTTATTATGGCTCTCCTATGAGGGGAACAAGAAAAGTTATACAGTTTTTAGAGCCATTTTATAACAAAACTTAATTACAGTTCTGAAGCTTGTTATTGTTTAAAAAGTCTAGCATTCCAGTACAAGGATGACATCAAATAGCTAGTTTTCAGTTAAAGAAGTTCTTGATGATCCTGACAGACATTCTTACAATAGTTTATCAAAAATGAGGAAATTATATTCCAAGAGAAGAAAGTTTAAATGTTCTGCAGCTATCTCAGAAAAATATTCTCCATGCACATCAAGTAATGTCTGCTACAGAACTTGCAAACTGAAAGATGCTGCATCATATTGTTTTTAGTGTCTTTTAATTACGATAATTGCCCTAGAGGGGAAAACGTTCCAGTGTTCAGTGCAATATCACCACAGATTTTTAATGTGGTACTACTCGCTGCCAAAATCACTGCTAATGGATTACTTTCAAAATCTTGAGATGCAAAAAAATCATCCTAGGCTTGGGAGAGCTGTAAAAATCTGACATTTGCTGAACCTTTGGCTAAATAAATCAAATACATTGCCTAAAATGGCTTTTTAACAAAATAGCTCAGAGTTTACTGTAGATGAATTAACAGGCAATTGGATGCAGAGGAAGTTCTTGGTAGACGGCAAGCTAATGAATTCTGACAGGTTGAATGGTGCAAAGATAATGGGCTGAACTGCCCACTGACTGTAAAGCAGAAGCTGATTAAGGTTAAGACTTTAGGAAAAGACCCCCACAAAATTGGATTGAAAGGAACAATGTATTTGATTTAGGGTTTG